TGTTTTCTGTCATCTGTTGCTATAGCCTGTGTACAGAACCCCCCTCCCCTCAGTAAAAATCGGAGAAGGGCCCTTACTGAGAGGATGGGGGGTCTGTACACAGGCTACTGTCGCCACCGATGGCAAGGACGAACATGGATTGAAACGTGAAAAAATTGAGCCAACGTTTTCAAGTTTTGATGTTATGCCTGCAAAAATCATCAAAAAAATATTATTATTGGAGCGCTCCCTGATAACATTTGTTTCATACCTTCTTATTTTAACTCTAAAGAGGCATTTTGGGTAAAGTCGAACCAAGTAATGACTTCAGATTGATCTAAAACAGCAATCACCACGTGACTTGGCCCCTTTTAGTGAAACAACTTCCTTGTAGTTCAAGTACCAAGATATGACCCATCCGCTGTCAGAAATTTTTAACAAAATACACTTTTTGTAAGATGCGGATCAATTTATTCTTTATTCAAAGCGTATAGTCACTGTTTCAAAATACTTGACCATGTAACTTGCCAATTTTATGACATTTCTTTAACTTACTGACTTGTGAGCAGTGCTGGTGGATTTTAGAAGCAGTGCCAATATAGTAAGCCGCAGTGCCAATATAGTAAGCCGGAATCTATTAGCAATTCTTAATGTTTGAGCACCATCATGTCGCGATTGAGCAAGCTTTCCTTCTGGTCCAGGCTAAAAATTCTTATTTTTTCTGCCGATTTTAGCCGGACTGAAAATATGCTTGTATTATCTTATGACATTTCCGTTTTAGAATGTATTGGAGTATCAATTTATTACTGTTAGTGCTTGTTTTTTCAAACATGAATGACAAAACAGCCAAGACAAATCGGCTTGAGGTTTCCCGATATTTCGGACGAACAAGTGCCGTTCTTCTTTAAGGGTTTTCCGAAATACCGGGAAACCTCAAGTCGCTTTTTCTTTGCCTTTTTGTCAGTAATGATTATATTATTGTCTTGAATAAAACACCTGGATTTGGATATCGTCAATTTATATAATAAGTTTCCACGTTCTTTTGTTTTGTTGGTTAGTTTAGAGAAAGTAAGAATTTTGTACGGTTAAGCTAAGAACACATATTGTATTTACAGATTTTCAACACAAAAAAATCATATCATTTACAGCTTCGGGTTCATTCCTTAAATATTCTAAAAATTTCGCCAATTTCAGCCTCAATATTCTTACATTATACTACTGAAAGTGTAAACCACGTTCAAGTTAAAAAAAAAAACGCGAAAAAGATAGGATGTTAAGCTTATTAGAATTGTTGCTTTATGTCTTTTTTCTCTTTCATTTTTCAAACTTCAATCGTGAATACATCATGAATGCACACTGTTAGTATCTTTTGCTCTTCACTTCCTGTCATGCAACCTGGTTCCCAGGGTCTCTCTTCCTGGAGACAGGGAACAGAGAGAGAGACACTGGAAACCAGGTTGTTGTTTTTTCCTAGTCCCTAGGCCTCATTATTGCGCGCGGCCGATGCGTTTCGGGTCACGTGGTCCGAGCAAGTTTTTTTCCCTGGCCCTTTGCCTCGGATACATCCTCGAAATGCATTTACCGAGAAGGCCTGGAAAGATGCCGTACAGGGGCTAGGCAAGTTGCTGTTGATGTCTTTTTTCTTTAACCCTTCAAGTCCAAGACTGATCAACATCAATTTTCTCTTAAAAATATCAATAAATCATCAAGGGAAAAGGTTTGAAGAATTAATAAAATAATCACCAAAGGGAAAATGGTTTGATCTTTTCAAATTCTCTCAACTGATTCTTTAAGGTGATGTACAAGGTACAGAGATAAGTCTGGGGACTTTGCAGGTGGATATATTGGCTTAATGGGTTAACATTGGCAGATCTAGGGAGACCCTCCTTATTTTTTGCCAAAGAATGAGTCCTGCAGAGACAAGAGATCCTTTTTTTTAGAGGTGGGAGGAGGGGATACCCCTTTTATCACAAGATCTGGAAGCACCCTTCCACTTCCTTCAAGACCTGAATTCGCTATTGTAAATATAGCTATTTCAATGAATGTAACTTGTTGGATTACATAACGGTAATTTATAAAAATTACTTTTTAAACACAGCCATGCACCAAAGTCTTTCTGTCATAAAACAGCAAAGGTAACCATTTTTGACCTTTTATACTATCCATGAAATTTTTGCCATGTTTCAAAGGATTCAAAGCTACTTGCATGACCTTGCAGTCTAGTCGCATAAGTTTGAGGTCTTAAAATCCAGGAATGTTCATTGAAATAGCTGAACACCAAAAAGAAGTCAAATTAAGCTGTTGCTTGAGTCAGAAGGGTTAGGATCTCTATGCCTAATGGCTTGAGATTCAGTTTAACCTTTCCACAATGACCACATTGGGGACAAAAAAAAGTGGCCATTGTGGAGGCGTGGCTGTTATTTGAGGTTCAACTGTAATTCGTTATATTCAAATAAAAGTGTGCATAAAAATCTGATTTACTAAGTGGTTTTGTAAACTTGCTAACTAAAATGCCAAATGATGCTTGTTATGCTTATGGATTAAAAACTCTTAAATTTTGTTCTAAAGTTCCCCTGAAAGTATGCCAAAACTTAAGCTAGTACAATATTGACAGTCAACAAAGGTGGAGTGATAAGGGGTCAAGGATTTTACATGTTATATCTTATGAAATAACTATTAATGTAAAGATAAAATACAGTCAAACCTCCTGTAAGCGACCACCCAAAATGCAAAGACTGAGTGGTTGCTTATGGGAGGTGGTCATTTACAAGAATCAAAACACAGGGGGCATCTTCCAAGAAGAGGTCCAGGCATGGAAGATAACTTATTGCATGCAAAGTCTAAGTTACAACATGTGTAGTTCCATGTTATCACTAAAGTTCTTCATATATTCTAAGCAGCATAGTGCACAAAGCAAACATAGAGATCAGAGAATGCGTCAAATGGCCGCTTAAAAGAGGAAAATGGTGGAAAATCATTAACTGTCAGGCCCAAAAGGTGGTCGTGGTCACTTACAGGAGGTCGTCATTAATTACTAGAAGTTCAAACTCTAAGGCTTTTACTGGGAAAATCTTGGTGTTTTGGGTTAGCGGTCGTTTATGGGAGGTGGTCGCTTACAAGGGGTGGTTGCACATGGAGGTTCGACTGTAAATCTAAAGAAAGTTTGCAGGGACCATAATCCCTCTAAGGCCCAGTTCATACGTCATACCTTTGCCAAACTCAATATTATTGTACTGGGTTTAACAGAAACAACAGAAGCACAACATCAATTCATACCTTGTGACTGAGTTGAACGTAATTGTGAACGTAGTATAAAGACAGTGGTTCTGAAACTAGTTTTCAAAATGAATAAATTTAGTTTTACACAGCATAAGCACAATGTTTGAATCCCTACCACTCCGGAGTCAGGAGAACAAATGCAGACATTCCATACTGATAACATGTCACTACCCAGATCCAAGAACTGATTTTGATTGGATAAGGGAAATTTTCAACCATTGGTCACTACTCAGATCTGGGTGTTGACCAATATCATTATGGAATTTCTCAACTCATAATCCTAAGACATCATAGTTGTGGCAGCTGTTTTCTATAATCACTGGCATAATCCAAAATCAGATCTTGGAGGTCACTTTAATGCAAATATATGCCTACAATCTGGTAGAAAAGTTCAAACAGGTATTCAAAATGAAAAATTTCACATTGAATATGCATCAGTCAATGTGGTAGAAAAGTTCAAACGGGTATTCAAAATGGCAAATTTGACATTGACTATGCATCAGTCAAATTAATAAGCTGTGATGGACAAAAAATCTATTGAATAATAATATTGTTGAAAGTCGGACAACAAGAAAAACAAGAAGTTGGTGACTAGCATTGTGGATAAAACACATACTATCAAAACCTGGACAGGAATGAAACAATAAAACACTTACTAGTGTCACAAATATCTGCTATGATCCTTGGTATCTTTTTTAAAAGCTAATTATGAAACAATGTATGTTAAGGTTTTCTTAGAATACAATAGCTTTTACCGGTTTGTTTGCCTAAAGGGATCAATGTCAACTGGTCACGAATGCCAGGTAACTGGATAGGGCAAGGGAAACGATTTCTGTCGCCACTCGCGCCCCGTTTCATTCTCTGCCCCCATTACTGTAGTGAACGGGAGAGGAAAGAAGACTGCAAACCTTGAGTGACAAGCGTGACAATAGTTTTGTTTGAAAAAACGTTCCGCCAAACTTCAACTGCTTTCTTTCTTTCACAGATGTTTTTTTTAAACGACCAGAAAATATTAATGCTGGGGAAGATTACGACAAAACGCGCAAATAATGGCCCTGTCGCGTTTGTCACACTCAAACGTTTTGCTGTCCTCTTCTTTCTGCCGTCCTATTGCGAAAACTCACTCAAGCGCCTGCAGTGAAGGCTTCACAAGCCATTAAATTCGATTTCCCCCGTGAAATTCAAAGTTGAAACATTAAGCTTAAATCCGAGATCGAGAACAAAGTAAACTATGTATTCTTACCGTTTCCGACACTTGCGAAGCAAGCAAGTACGCTGTCGCCCTTCCCCCGAATTCAGCGCGGTGACATCTTGAAAGTTTAAACTTCCACGGCAAGTATTTAAAAAAGGCTGAGAAAATTTTCTTCATTACACTCCGCAATAGTTGTTATAGGTCATTTTTCCCTTCTTCATCTTGTTTCTGACGTAAACGAGTAATTTATATCTTCCGAAGGAAATTCAACACGATTTGAATTCCCGCCTGGCGGAGCGAAAGGCCTGGCAGCTGTAAGCGGCCACCCCCCCGCCCCACCTCCACCCACACCACTCCGGTCATTTCCCGTCATAAGACCTCCTAGGAGAACGAACATCCTCTAGTACTGCGTATATATAAGTGCTACAGCTAGTTTTCTTGATTGATACAAAAGTATGGTTTGACTCCAATACAGCCTCGTCCATAGCAAAGTCATTTTGAAAAAGAGAATAAAAAATATAAACAAGAAGGAACTTGCCTTTTTTGACTCCCAAGGGACATTTCCATAGCGACGAATGTTCCGCTGTAAAGTAAGGAACGACTGCGTTCCGAAAAGGCAGAAATATCAGAGTGGTCGATTTTCTTACTGATATTTGTGATTTAAGAGCAATTATTTAACTTTGGAGAAACTCGAGGTAAGCAAGGCTTGCTTTAATGCTACAGACAGTGAACAAGGTAACCAAGACCTAGTTCATTGTTCATTTCTTTATTACCCTTTCAATCAATTAATCATGGCAGGAACACACAACAAATAGTTTAGATGTTTAGTGTACATGAGCATCCTTTTTTCAAACCATGGATTAATTTTTAAGACCAGTACATGATGTATTCAGCTTTTGATCGTTAACGCTAAGGTAGTTAAATCCTTGCCTTTCAATTTATGGGATCAATTCTATCCTCCCGCGACACTGAGGGATTAATACATTTTTGTGTTTGACACAAAGGCCTTCGATCGCGAGCAAAAAGCGTTGCACAAAGAAAACGCCTCTCGTTGAGTTAAACATTCTCAGCAGTCACGCAGAAGTGGAAAGAGAAAATACTGAAATTATCTAAGTTATTTCGTGTATGTGTAGGAATCGATCGGATGTTATAAATGCGAAGTAGTCTAGCTAGTGAATTGGTTACTAAGGAACATCGAAATGCATTTTTAATATGAGCTTGAATACTTTTGTTAAATAAGAATTTTAGTGCATCTCTATAAATTTAGCCCTAGTCTAGTTAGCCGAGTGGATAATCTTTAAAAAGCCAGGATTATCGACGGAAGGCATAACACCTGGCACGCAGAATGATCTTGTCGCCCTCAAATTTGCAGCACGTGCCTGGAAGTACTGGAAAGAATTTAATAATTAACTCTTTTCAAATTTGGGTAAGAAATATAAAATAATAATTAATGTTTTTTAATTATAGGCCAGTTTTTTCGATACTATTAAGATATATTATTTTTTGTAAATTATCATTTGCTTGCTGCTTGCTTGCTTGCTTATTTCGAGCGAACTCGAACTCCATTAACTAGCTTCATCCATTCCTTCCGGTTTTCCATGATGTTCTTCAGTTCAGCTATGCTCAAACCAGTATCATTTTGCAGCTGGTCTACGTATGTTAATGCTGGTCTTCCTCTCTTTCTTGCGCCGTGCTTTGGTTCCCAGAGTAGTAAATCACTTATCACCTCATCCTTTTTTCTCCAACAGTGTCCTATAAACCGCAGCCTCCTGATCATCAGTGTATCTGTAATCTTAGGAAGATTGCCGTACAGTTCTTTGTTGGTTTTATTATCATTTGGATAAAATTTATTGCATGGTTTGATGGACATTTTTTTGCAGAGAACAAATATGTCAGCCAAGCTTTGGCAGATGTCATAGCCTTTATTTCACTAAGCCAACAAATCTTGCTAGAAGATAAACATGGATCCCATAAATAAATTTGTCCAAGCTCCAATTGCACTCCCATCACATCAAAGCAATATATATATATATTTTATTACAATATTACATGAATGTTAACATCTGTTACATATGTTAACATTAGATCACCTTTTTTCAGGACAGGGCTTTATAACAGTGTATAATGCATGCAAGAGCTACAGTGAAGAAAGTTGACAAGACTTTAAAGACCTTAAGTTCTGCAACACTCTCAGTCAATTCTCTGTCGGCCACTGAAATTAAATGTGAAGACAGTGACGATGAATCTGATGGATGGGAAACTGACTTGGAATGTGATGATCAGGTAGTATCGCCATTCTCAAGGCTTAAGATTTTAAAATTTCTAAGATAGTGTAAAAGAAAAGAAGCATTAATTTGGCATTATGTAACATCTTCTAAGATACGGTAGTACCCTTGGTTTTTTGAAATTCCAGATACTATGAGCCAAACTACCTTCCCTTCATCAGTCAAACACTGTAATTTTACCCTGATTTTTCAAACCTCCCTATAATTTGAACCAATTTGCTTTTTCCACTTTGTTTTTAAAAATTGGGATTTCACTGTAATGAAATACACTAGTGTATCAAAAGTACATGCAGGGGTATAGCCAGCATATAAACCTGTAGGCCTGGGCCTACAAATTTTTGGTTTGATCACTCTACCACTTGTAATAAATTATGCGTTGTTGTGGTGTGCTAAAAAGCCTAAGAGGTCAAAGTGTTGGTGTGGTCAGTGCAGGCCTACAACTAGTTGAAAAGCTGGCTACGCCCCCGAGTACATGTATCTTGGGGCCTTATTCCATGCACCACTACAGGGGCGGATCTAGGGGGAGGGTGCAAGGGGTGCACACCCCCCCCCCCTAAATGTTCACATTTAGTTTATGTCTACTCCACCCTGGGGGTGTACTCCCCTACATGGCATTTATGGGGAATGCAATGTGCCACTGGACAATAATATGGTTTTTACCCTCTGTCCTAAACAGGGTACATTTATATCATTTGGCACAAGTCTGTCCTAAACAGGGTATATAATGCTAGTATGTCTCAATGTAAACAGGATATTGCCTGCATGATTGATTTGACTTGCTTGATGAAATATGTGTATACTATAAGTACAAAAGCTATGACTACGTGTAAAATGTCAATTACTTTGCCCTATAGCAATTGCCAAGAAATCATGCATTTTGTCCTTTGTACTAAACAGCGGTAAGAAAAGTGAGGTTGTTCACCTTAACACGGTCGGGGTTCAAACCCTCAGCAGCCCACCTATACCCAAAATATCGGTCAAGTACCCTCATGGAGACTGCACCTATCATGGAAGTGGGTCATCTCATCACATAGGTTTCTGTCACACTTTTTGCGGCAGTTTGAACAGATTTTCATATCAGGGTGGAGTGTTATTCATGTAGACATGATAAGCCATCCAGTGTAGTGTGGAGCCTAAATCTCCAATTTTTTGCAGGACTTTTTACAGTTGAAGCCTCAGTATGACCCCACTGGTCGAGCTCTTTACAGACGAGCATGCCAGAAACTTGGAATTGTTCCTGCATCTTACTTTGTGCGTCACATGACTGAGCCTACTGTTGCTATGTCTCATCATGGGCTTGGCCCACTTGGAATCAGGGCTATGGCGTTAGCTCTTTTATACAACACTAAAGTGACAAGCCTTGATGTAAGGGACAATGGTATTGGAGATGAGGGAGGAGAAATCATAGCGAAGCTCTTGAGAGAAAACTACTTCATTGTGGAATTAGACATATCTGAAAACCAGCTTGGAAGAAGTTCTATTGTAGAGATCGCAGAAACACTCAAGGAAAACAACACGCTGATAAAGCTTGGACTTGCTGGGAATTCTCTGGATGACAAAGATGCTGATATACTTTGTGGATCTCTGCTTGTAAATAATACTCTGACTCAGTTAGATTTGAGCTGCAACAAATTCTCAAACAAAGGTTGCGAGTACTTTGCAAAATTACTTGACGAGAACATCAGTCTATCAGAGCTTGATTTAAGCTGGAATCACATTCAAGCTCAAGGAGGNGATCTCTGCTTGTAAATAATACTCTGACTCAGTTAGATTTGAGCTGCAACAAATTCTCAAACAAAGGTTGCGAGTACTTTGCAAAATTACTTGACGAGAACATCAGTCTATCAGAGCTTGATTTAAGCTGGAATCACATTCAAGCTCAAGGAGGAAAAATGCTAGCTAAAGGACTTAGAGGAAATGTAAAGCTCAAATCTTTAAATTTGGCATGGAATGGTTTAGCAACAGATGGAGCCAAAGCACTTGCCGGAGCCCTGGTAGAGAATGGAACCCTACAAGAGTTGGATTTAAGTAGCAATAGAATTTCAGATGCAGGTGCATTTAGTATTGCAAGAGGTCTGGAAAACAATTCTTCTCTTGAAGTTCTAAAGCTAGCAAAGAACCACCTTCAAAATAATGGTGCTTGTGCTATTTTAAACTCAATCACCAAAAATGGAGATAGTAGACTAAACAAAATCAACCTCTCGGGTGTCATTGTTAAAGACCAATTTCACTTAATCGCAGAAGAACTGCAAAATCTGAGGCAGATTAGAATAATAACAGAGGAGACAACTGAAACAAAAGCTAAGAAGGAGGAACCTGATCCTGGTACTCTTCTGCGTAACTACATAGCAAAAGAGCATGTTCTTGTCGTTGATTTGTTCCGCAAGTTAGATCGTGATGGAAGCATGCAAGTGAGTGTGAAAGAATTTGCAGAAGGATTACGCAAATCAGATGTTGGGCTGACTCAGTACGAGGTAGACAGAATGATTGACGTGTTGGACGTTGATAAAGATGGTGAAATAGATTACAGTGAGTTTGTGTACATTCAGTCTGAGTGGAAAAGTGAAGACAAAGGAAAGAGAAAATTATCCTCAATGTAGCTACTTGTACTTTATTGGGCACATTATGTCTTCAGCTGTAAGTGAGAATTAACATAATCTGAGTTTTACCATGCACTTACAGTGTGTAAGCACTACATTTGTGAAAATTGCTTTGTTGTATTTGTTTCAGAGATCAGGTCTTATTTCTTAAAACAAGTAATTTTTTTTTAACCAGGTCAAGTTTAATTTGAATTTTTTAACAGGTCACTTCCGGTTAACTTGCTAAGTACAGTTGCAGCGACAGCCATTGTCGAAAATAAGTGTATGCATGTATAGGCTTAAAATATTAAAAGCAACATTCTATTTACGCTTTGTTTATGAGGATTCACCAATACTCGTGATTAAATAAAGAAGAAATATTCAGGTATATGGCTTTTTCTGTACAGCTAGCGATAACATTGATTAATTTGTGTCTAGAATAATATATTGTGCTATCAAAACGTAATTTATTACAGCTGACTTTAATTTTGAAATGAACATGATTGCTTTAGAAATAAATATTATTTTTCACTCAGTAATACTTGTTTCCAACTATTTTCAGTATAAATACAATCATCAAAGTAATTTGAATTGTCATGTACAAATCAGACTATCAACTTATCCTGAATGGCTAGGAGAGGGAAGGGGAAAAGTCATGCGTACTGGCATGCCAAAATTCCCTCCCTGCCTCAACTATTAACTTGGGAGTGATACTGACTGAGGTTTTTGATGAGAAAACGCCAAGGAAATGAGCCACACCATGTCCAAGGGCATTCTCTAAATATCCAGCCTTTGCCCTGCCACCTCAGATTTGTTCACTCTTAAAATTAATGATCTTAACAAGTTAGACATGGCATTTCATTAACAGCAATGCTGATCAGAAAATGTCACAGAAAAAAAGGAATTTATTGAACTTTTTCTGTGTTTCACAACATCGATGTTCTTTTTTTATTTACAACAGTTTTCTAATATTATTATTACTTTACATACAAGCCAGAAAACAGATCCTTAGTTCAAAGCAAATAATTACCAGTAAAACATGACCAGAAACTTCTAAGGGGGCTGTTCAAACCTTGACAACTTTCTGATTCCTAATCAACATCTACAGTAAAATCCTGGTAACTCAAACTCAGAATTCAAGGGAAACAAAAAACAGTTCGAGTTATCGGGGTAATTTTCAGTGAAATTTTGATCAAAGGAAAGGAAATTTAGTTCGAGTTAGTGGGGAATTCGAGTTCGAGTTATTGAGTTTCTCTGGTATTATGAGTTCTATCCATGTTGAAAGAAGGGAATATTTTTTCCAGCCTTCAAAAGCCTAGATAAGAGTATATTTAAGGAATCCGAGACAACAATATTTTTTTTCTTGAAAAACTAGTAAATATCACTAAATTCTACATGTGTTTACCATCTAAAACCATGCAGCCATTAAAGTAGCCTCCTATGCAGATGTTCTTAGGGGTCTGTCGTGCATGAGGAAGGAATGTGTGACAAAGCCCTTAGAATGTCTAAGTAGGAGGCTATCATTGAAGTGATGCACATTCAAGTTTATACAACTGAGTTTGTACTGAAATGTTAGCCCCAGGGATAACATGATTAATAAGACAAGAATTTTGTGTCCTTAAAGGAAAAAGACTCAGCTAAAGAGAAATACTGTTTGGATAACCCATGACGAGTTGAAGGGGTGGGGTTGGTGAAGAAATAGCCCTGAGTGACCCATAGTGTCATGCCAAAATCCGTTTTTTTTTTTTTTTTCACAAGAAATCAATCACAGTAATGAGAGGGGAAAATTTAACTGTCTAACAGAAGTCAGTTGGTGGAGCAATCAGTCTTTTAAGTAAAATTCCTATGATAATTCCTGTTGTTATGACATGTAAGGATTCTTCTGCATTATCCAGTTGACAGTTTCTTCTAGTAGTGACAGCTTGTAATGACTGAAACAAAAAAAGAGAAATAAGTTCATTCCAGAAGGACACAAGGAAGGGAACAAAACAACAATAGAGTAGTTTTTATGCACCATTTTGCACATTTCCCCAGGATGCAAAGAAAGTCAGTTTTACAGCTAACCATTCAGGCAAGCTGTAGCTAGCGTGTAATTGCCCAAAAGTCATTTCAACCGGACCAAAAAAAATTTTTTGGATCACCAGGTTTAAATACAGTTCTTCTGTAATTTGAACTCCCCAAGAAACTTCACTTGCTCATCAGGCAAGTTAATAAGGTATTTCACTAGCACAATAGCAAAATCAAATAGCCCTGTGCCATTGGACACCACTTTCTTTGCACACTGATTTTTTCCTTCCCCTCCCCCCCCCCCTGCCCCTCCCAACCACCACCACCACCAAAAAACTATACGAAAGGCATGACATTTGTTTTCAATTTTTCCTGGGTATTAAAGAGTTGAAGACAATGCTTCTGCGAAATTTTAGGGGAGGGCAAACAAGGTGTGTTATGGGAAATGCCAATCATGGAAAGAAGGCAGCAAATGATCCTTGAGGCCATCACTTCAATTTCTTTAAAATGATCAGTAAGCAATCTATTTATGGAAATCAATGAGTCGAGTTGAGACTTTTTATAATAGTCTCCAAATTATTTTGCTTTGTTTACATTTGGCCTAAGATAAGATCACAACTTGTTTTAAATTACAGTGCAAATACCTGGCCACATTTCTGAAGGTCTTCAGCTTTTCAGAAAAGTCATCAAGAGACAATGTGTATGTAAAGTTACCAGCACAACTACAGTATCTTGCCATATTAGTTGCCTTTACCTGTATGGGTAAAAAAAAAGGTCATTACCACTGATATTTATCATGCATAAATGAAGTAAAATAATTATTTATTTAACCCATTCGCCCCTGAACCGCCCGTAACCGCCCGTGCGGATCCAGGTCCTTTCTACCCATTGTGACGTCATCAGTTTTAACGGTCAAGGACAACTTTCTTCACT